AGTGACACTGGTAAAAGATAATAAAGCAGACTTCATTCAGGACCATCAAAATAGGTGTCGGGACCATGGCAATGGGATTTGGCAGTGGGGGAGAGAGATTGGGCTCAACTCTGAACACAGCATGGGCAAGTGGGAATTGATGGCCAAGAGCAGGACCGGGAAGACCCCAAGAGCAGTGGATGGAAAATTACTAGAGGAAACTTCCGGGGTAAGGGGGATTCTGGCTAAACTGACCTGAATCTTGTTGAAGATAGGCCAGGGTGATCAGACATCACCTGGGGGATAGTGGAGGACAATATCTGATCACCTGATCAGATATCCAGAGTGATCAGATACCAAAGGTGATCAGATATCAGGGTAGGGGGTTCTAGATAAACTGACTTAGCAGGGTTCTTGCTAAAACTGGATTTTACAAAGAAGTACACAGATGGGCCTAGGAGAAGGTCCATAAGCCAGACTAAAGTGTGATCAAGCAAAGAAGCTTTGTCAGAATCCTACTCATCTTTTTCTGCCCAATCCAAGTGCCACCTGCTGCAAGCGGCTCCTAGTCACCTCAGCCAGGTGACACCTTCGTCTCCTCTGGAAGCTCCCAGCACCTGTCCTCTGCACCAGTGCTCCGCAAAGCATCTAGTTTTTAGACTGGATGGAAAAGATACACTTTTTTACGTTTCTAATCTGTCTCCAATCAATAATCTTTGTAAACTATAATGAAATGAATTACTAGAAAAAGATATACAAAACAAAGATACAAAACGCTAGCCGTATTTTTGGTTATTACACTGAACAGATATAAGATCACTGTCCAATTGCCATAAACGTTTTTAAGTACCTTCGATTTCTATAGAGATCCTGTCACACCTGCTTTGTAATATATTAGTGCACAGTCCCTTCTCCTTCAACTCCCAGAGGGTAGGTATCCAGTCCCAAAAGAAATGAATTCTGGGAGTGGACTATAAAGAGAGGTTGTCCTCTAGACTTCGCAGGACATAAGGCATGGCCTGAGAGCAAGGAAGCCAGGTGGCTATTGAGAGTAAAGCCCCAGGATAAAGCCCGGTGATATTTCACCTGTTTGGAACTAAGATGGGTGTGTCATCTGTCCTACCCCAGTACGTGATGGGGGCCATATTCTTAACCACTGTCATACTGGCTCTGTCCATGTGCTACAAATTCTAGACCAGCGCTACCCAATATAACTCCCTGTGATGGTAGAAATGTTCTTTATTTGTGCTGTCCATTGCAGTAGCCACAAGCTACATGTGGCTAGTGAGCACTTGGAATGTGGCTAGTGTGACTGAGGAACTGAGGGAGAGGCACGTCTTCAGAGTCCAACATCTAGATTAAGGTTCCATTCACACGACATATCCATTGAGCTAGACCACACAGACTCAACAGGAGAAATAGCACCCCAAGGCAACAAAAGCTGGTTTGGGGGAGTAAGGGAGAGAAACTTACTCTTTTTATGTAAAAAGCACAAGTATACATTTAGTACATAAACAGATGTAAAATTTTTCTATGATATTAAAATTGCATGGGAGTGGCCATTAAGGAAAAAAGGATGGAGGGAGGCATGGGGTAGAATACATAATAATGAAAAAAAAAGAGGTAGAGATATTCTAATACACTAAGTGTTCTCATATGGAGGTCTGTCATGGGTGGCTGCCCTGGAAACCGAACCAAACTGCCCTGTAAAAGTGGTTTCTAAGGAGACTACCTGATGGGTTTCTAATCTCTGACACACATTTAGATGTGCTTTGGGGGTGTATTTGTTGAAGATCTTTCCACTGAAAATTTTATCATTATGAAGCCTTTTATTGGAAGCTGGGTCCTGGAATAGAAGGTGCCCATGGCGAAATCATTAAGACAAATTAAGACGCGTTTACATATGTTGGAAACAATTACACACAAAGATTTAATTTGTTTCACTGCTGGAAGAAAATCCTAAAAGGATACAAAACACATACCCAAGACCAGTTCTGCAGCCACCCTGTGAGCCTGTCACTTGTCAACACCTGAGGGTCTGGGAGCTGCTTAAATGGGAATCTACCAAAGACTTGTATATCTGAAAATACATCCTCTACTAGGTCAGGAATACAGGTGCTTATACAGGTTAGTCAGAGTTCTCTTAATTTTCTTTTTTTTTTAAGCTAACATATTGCTATAAGTAATTATTGTAATTGTTTATCCAAATAATGCACAGAGCTCTAAAATGGAATAGGCACATTTTATAATCATCTAATATACTTAGCAAACTTATAAATATGCATTATTGTTATGCTGTTTGTTTGGTTTTTTTAAGAGACCAAAACCGAAAATGAGATAATCCATTTGTTTCTGAATTATGGCCTTCAATGTCTCTTGGGTTTTTTTGTTGTTGTTGTTTATGGCAGAATTTTTATTTTTAATTGTCGTCCCATTAGGAAAAGAAAGCCTTCTCAGCACACCAAACTGGATTTTTCCCAAAGGAAGAGAATAGAATCTATCATCAAGGTTACTCCAGGATATGCCTGTTGCGATATACCCATCATCTATATACCATGGGTTCCAAAAACAATGTATACACATGACTTGTAGTCATCTTTTGTTATTGGTATATATTGAGTATTACAATCTTAAAACAGTTTTTTTCTTTCTTAAAATGTATATACATTTTTTGGCACCCTCTGGATATGGTAATTGCACAGTCTTATCCAGGAGGTTGGCGAATGGGCCCTCAACATCCTGAGGTGGCTGCTAAAGAGGCCAGAGCCCCTTCTCTCAAAACATTAACTTCCAAAGGAGCAATCAACAGCCAGAGGGCTGACGTGTTTAGACTGAGAGATGACTTGTTCTGTCATCATAATGATGATTGCTTCCTTATAGATTTTTCTCGTATATCAGCTATGTTTCATTATATGTGAGGAGCATAATCCTCCAGTCACTTAAAAAAATAGATAGGCCTTTTACAGTGTGAGGAGTGCGTATAAAAACTATTTGTGCATGCTGGTAGCCTACAGGTTTACTGCCTTTTCCTTGGGGTTGCTTCATGGCAACCTCTTTTTTTTTCATGCTACCCTGTAGCAGGTTTTGCAAACAGTTATGGGACAACTCACGCATGTTGCAGACTCAAAAACTCATTTTCTGTGGTGATCATTTAATTCAGAATGTGATTCTCTTTTTGGAAATCGGGCAGGGTAGTATGAAACCTCCAACTGACAGCTTGCAGAAAGATGGTTTGGTTGCTTCTCAGCTTGCCCCATGTCCCACATAGAAACGGTCCACTTAGAGCTGCATCATCAACTCCACTTACACGAGCATCTTTGATGAAGGGCAAGGCTTTCTAGCAAGGAGGGATGTATGCCTCCCACCTCTACAGCTATCCTTGGCATAACTCTTGCAAGTCCAGGCAATGTTCATTTTATTGGCAGCCAAAGACCATTTGAAACTAGATCTAACAATGCGGCCATAAATCTCTTAAGTCTTACCTGTGCCCTCAGAAAGTTTTATTTATATCCTGCCTCTTTAAAATGGGAAATTTTAAGGTGTATCACAATCAAAGCCATACACAATAAAATTGTTCACCCAGAAGCAATTTGAAAATCATGAAAAGAAGAAGAAAATATGTTAGCCAGGATGGTTAATGAAATTACTGTGACTTATTATTGAATGTGGCCCTGAGACTATGTAAAGATCCAGCAGTAAGTAAATGATTAAATACATTATGGTATAGCCACATGACAGAAGATTATGTAGCCTTTAAAATTACCCTCAGGGTGAATTTATGATAATAAAAAATGCTTATGTAATACAGTATTAAAAAGAGAGAAAAAGAGAAGGAACAAAGGAACAGCGGCTTGTCTGTTCCCCTTCCCCCAGTTCCCCAGCGCTGTTCCCATCCCCCAATTCCTCAATAAAAATCTTTAAAAAAAAAAAAAAAAAGAAAAAGAGATAAAAACTCTAACATCTCAGCTATGTTTACAAAACGTTGAGAAAAAATGTTGGAAGAAATTCACCAGAAGATTAAGTATGTCTGATGAGATGAAGTGATTTTTGTTTTCTGATTTTTTTGTCTTCTTGATTTTTGTTCCCATCCCCCAATTCCTCAATAAAAATCTTTAAAAAAAAAAAAAAAAGAAAAAGAGATAAAAACTCTAACATCTCAGCTATGTTTACAAAACGTTGAGAAAAAATGTTGGAAGAAATTCACCAGAAGATTAAGTATGTCTGATGAGATGAAGTGATTTTTGTTTTCTGATTTTTTTGTCTTCTTGATTTTTGTTTTTTGTTTTTTGTTTTTTTTCATTTTTCAGATCATTATAATGAACATATAATACTTTTATAATCACATGTAAAAGTTATCTTTTTAGTTGACTTGGAGCTTCCTGACAGAAAAGGCAAAAGGGGAAACAATCATGAGTTATACGATTTTCATTGTGTGATGAAATAACTCCCTCAGTTCTTCAAGATAAACTTTTCCTTGATACTGAATTCCCAAAGGATGTTGAGTGATGTACAAATCTTGATCAAGTTCTTATAGCAAATGTAGAGGGGGGACTCCTTCTGACTGTGTCTCATGCCTACCCCCCAGGAAAGCCAAAGGCAGGGCACTCACTGTGGGCTGAGGCAGTGAGGATTCGCCAGAAGGGGAACTGGTCACTCACTACGCTGCCATCTCTTAATTCTGTTTGGAATTTTTTTTTTAATTAAAGTTTATTGGGGTGACAATTCTTAATAAAGTTACATAGGTTTTAAGTGTACAATTCGGCAATACATCATCTATATATCATGTTGTGTGTTCATCACCCAGAAACATATGGTGATGGAAGGAGAACTGTTTGGAATTTTGAAGTGCTGCTTTTGCCCTTTGCATCTTATCCACACAAATGTGCAAGATAGGCCTAGCAGATCCAGAGATAGCTCTCAGCTCTTTATTTCACACCTGGAGGACTGAATCACCACCAGTCCTGGAAATTGGTCTCTGAAACAGCAATGTAATTTGACTTTTCCCCCCTCCCCTCTTTTAGGTGTTGCTGCATTGGATTCCAACGTATCCGGGAAAATTGGTCTGCGTGCTGTCGTATATTATTTCTGTACTACTGTCATTGCTGTAATTCTAGGTAAAGTTTATTTCTGAATCCTTTTTCCTCTGCATAATTGTGACTTTTCTTTTAAAAGTAGTTGGGCTTTTTAAAATGTACAATTTTTTTAAAAATCAGAAAGTAGTATTGTCACACTACCATGAAGCTTTTTGGCTTGAAGCCTACACAGCCCCTTTTATATGAAGAAAATAGACTACTGACTGAATTTCAGCCACAAGACTTTTCACTAATGTTTCCAGTAAGAAACAGAATGAGGGTGACAGTTCTGTGCCTTATCAGGATCACGGGGTAGAAGAAAGTGAAGTTGAGAGCTTATACAATCTTTAAACTTATTAGTCAGTAATAGTAGAGTTGAGTCATTATAAAAGATTTCCAGAAAGATGGCATTTGAGTTCATTTCAAATTTCACATAGTACTAAGAGCTAATGGCTAACAGAGTCTTGCCAAGTATAAATTCCATATGAAAAGAGGGAGGGAGTTCTGATAAGAGAGTATAGCTGCTCTTGTACCTTGGGAATTCCTTTGTGAAGAAGGTATGGTCCATCCTTTGTGACCGAGTGTGAAGGATGCCCAGAGTGAGAAGAGAGGACGAGAATGTACTCAGGTGCAACCAGCTTGACCCTTGCAGCTCTGCTTTAATGAATTGGTAAGAAGTGGGGAGGTTTTAGTTATTAGGCCAGGGGACCTAGGAAGGCCTGAACCCTGCCTTAAACCAAAGCCACATCTCACAAGGTTCCCGAGGGAGGCCAACACAAAGGAAAAAGCCCTTTTTTGTATATCTTTTCTGCAACCCTGAGAAGGAAGAGTGTAGCATGCCCACTCACGGCCCTTCTGTTGCCCAGTGACGACTGCTACTAGCAAAACTGCCCATTCAGCATCCTAACCCCTTGGATTGGCTTTCCCCTTAGGAGGAGCGATAAAAGGAATGGGGACATTTTTCTTCTTCATTCCTCTCCAAACAACCTCGGTTGCCTTGGTCTAGACCTACAACCTATCACCTCAAGCAACCAGAGCCTGTTACCTCTAAGGCCAAACAGGCACTTTCAGATGCTCTCCATTTAGACACTTCTTCCTTATAGTGAGAACCATCTCCCCATAACTCCTGTCTATTTTTTCCTCATTCCATCCCCTGAAAGTCACACGGAACAACACTTTTTTTCCCAACCCTAACCTATTTTGAGTTACACAACAGCTTTCCAGATATTTGAAGGCTTGTGATATGGAAGGAAAATAAGGCTTGATCTGTATGACCCTCAGGAAAATAACCAGCACCTGTGGGTAAGAGTTGCAGAAAGATATTGAACGTGTGCCTTGAATTGGAAAATAAATCAGCCTCACCCCCTGCCTAGGCTGACATCATAAGCTAAAGAAAAGAGAAAATTTTCATCAGCAGGTGTTTCCAGAAGCAATTCTGGAATGTAGCCCCTTCCTTTTAAAGAAAAACACAGGGGGAGTTCCTTCTGCTTTATTTAAATGGAAAAGTAAGGCTGCTGCTGAGGTCCCAGCTGAGACTGAGCATCTTCTTTGGACTCAGGGTCCCCATTCCAGTATTGCCTGATACCACTATGCCTACTGATTCTAAGAAGGATGCGCTAGGGGTGCCAGGTGCTCTGGAAGGGTCTTAATGCTTGTGGGTGCTATCCTTGGCCACAGGTATTGTGCTTGTGGTGAGCATCCAGCCTGGTGTCACCCAGAAAGTGGATGAAATTGACAGGACGGGCAGCAGCCCTAAAGTCAGTACGGTGGATGCCATGTTAGACCTGATCAGGTGAGTGTCTTGCCAGCAGTATGGCTTCATTGGTCACACAGGGCCCCATGTTTGATTTAATGCTCAGCTGTCGCTGTCTTGAAATTTTTAATAATTTTTAAATTGTGTGTTTTAATTTTGCCCTGGACCCTGCACAGTACAGAGTCAGTCCTGCTTGCCAGGTCATGGTTCCAAGAGAAACACGCTCCTCTATCAGGATTTAGGATGGACAGAGATGCAGAAAGTATACTTGTTGCATTAAGATGTTAGGCTGGGTTGCATGGTCAGTTCTGAAGCACACTTGAAGAAATAAATGTTTTAATTGTACAGGAAAAACCCTTTTATCAGAAGCATTCGAGGCTGGCAATTGGTTAATAAATAACAATTAAAACAGAATCATATAAAACAACAGATATGCATTAAATTTTTTGTTTACACTTAAAACTTAAATGCATTTATCTGCCAATTTTTTGATGTAGGGTCAAGGTCTTTGTGTCAGTTGATTGTAATTTCATATTATTTCTGTTGCATATGCTGACCTTATAAATGCATCATCTACAATTTCCAGATTCAGTTGCCATGAAATGGAGCAAGAAAACCCTTAGAAATTGCAAAGAAAGCTGACTGCCAAATCCTTCCAGTTTTTATTTCAGTTGTCTTCCCACACCTAATTTAACCACAGAAATTTTATTCATTTGCCTTGATTGAGTTTCCAGGCACTCAGCTTTGTTTTTATAGAAACCACACCTTCCATTTCACACTCCTATTTCATTGATTTACATAATTTTAAATTCAGTAATTACAATGATAATTGCAAGTGACCTAAAGAATTTGGGAAGAAATGCAATGGACTCTTGGTAAGCATACATTCTCATCGATGAAAATAGAAATGTGCAGAATATTGTAGAAGTCTCTTTAACTGTGAGTGTCCACCTGCCAATACAGTGTTTCACCAAGGACAGCAAGCATATCAGTTACTCAGTGAATCAGTTACTAAGTGACATTGTTAGGAGAGCTTTCTCTACTTGGTTGAAGCTTAGCAGGGAAAAATAAATCTTAATACAAAGAAGCATTATGCAAAGGAGAAGCCAGAAGAGAAACCAGAGTACTGATTCTATATTACACTCATTTCCACCAGTGTACCAATGTATTGGTTATGACAAACAAACACTTTTGCCTTAACATAATACTGCTTTTCATGTCTCCAACAGGAATATGTTCCCTGAGAACCTTGTCCAAGCCTGTTTTCAGCAGGTAATAATGACTTTTGCCCTCAAATTGCTCCTTTCTTCCCATTACCAATTAAGGTTTTCTTTTCCTGCTCTGACCCAATGAATGGAATTAGCCCATCTAAAATGGCAGGAAATGCACCTGTGAATGGAGGCATTTCAGGTGACTCCTCTATTCCATATCCCTGGTGTGGCTTACACTGCCTCCTTTTTCATTATGGTCCCCCCCCCCACCCAAGAGCTCAAATGGAGCAAGTCAGGAACTTGTCAACCAATTGAGTGTTTTAAAATGTGGCCTCTAGTACCCATTTTTGGAGAACCACATTATATTTGTGAAGACAGTTAAGTAACTGTCTGCAGGTGCCATGCCGTAAAAAAAAAAAAAAAAGCCCTGCATCTCCTCTTCCCTTTCCCTCATGTGGGGAAATCAGTGTCTACCTCACGTGGGTAGTTAGCGTTCCTTGTGTTTGGTCTTTTCCTTAATCATTCTCCCCCCATTGCAGGCACTCTACAGAGCAATGTAACAAAGCCATGATTTTTTCTCTAGGAAGGCTTAACAATCGCTTCCCTCCATTTCCTTTGAGCTTTTTTCTCTTGTTTATATATGCACTTAAGACAGCTGAGTCTATCACAAACTGCTGAATTCATTTACATAAATTACGTGAACAGAGAGACCTCTGTGTATACCAACAAAAATGGCAATTAAATTGCTCCCTGCCGACCTCCAAGCAGCACAGAACCACCTCTATTTCAGGGGTGCCTTTGCAGTTCAGCCACAGTGGTCGTTTGTAAGGTTCTTGGTGTTCGCAGGGCCGTGTAGGAGTGACATTTATGCCAGGCATGATGTATACTGGCTCTTTCTTAAACCTCTCGGCTGAATCTCTGCAGAACTAAACAAGGCTGAAGGAAGGGGATTCAACAGAAATCCCATGGAATAGCCCTCTAGGGGGACTGTTGATTTTGAAACGACCATATTGTTGATGTTTATTAAAGTCATAGTAACTACATTTATCAAAGGGATGAGGTGTATTTTCCAGACTACACATAATAAATGAATAAATAAATAGGAACAAAAAATGATGGACAGGATCCCTGTAGAGTCTGTCTGTTAAAGCACCTACTAAGAAAACCTATACATTCTTTCACATTATTGCTCCATTCATCTGTCCTTTATTATGGAAATGAGAGAACATTTTGACATCATTGAATGATCCAGGCTGTGGGAGTAAGCGGTTTGGATTACTCAATCCCACTTTTGGTTCCAAAGCCTCATAGAAGGTGCTGTCAAAACCTGGAGCTAACAGAGCCCTCGGAAGTAGAACCCTTCAGTGGCACTTTTTTGGTCAAAGTAACGTATTCCTGTGGTTTAGCCTCCAGTGCTTATTCATTTACTTCTTTGTCCTTTTTTCCCTCCAACTTGCAGTATAAAACCACGCGTGAAGAAGTGAAGCCTCCCAGTGAGCCAGGGATGAACGTAACAGAAGCACCTGTCACAACTGTCACGATGGAAGCATCTGTCACACCCATCATGACAACTGCCATTTCCAAGGTACCGTTTTCCTTGCTTGTCGCCTGCATTTCTTCCCCGGTAGGCAAAGGCTGAGTCGTGAGTGAGCAGGAGCTGGAAATACAGCCAACCCTCATTATTGCATTCTCCATTTGTGAATTCACCTACACACTAAAATGTATTTGCAACCTCAGAGTCAAAACTCAAGGCCCTTTTGTGTCATTTGTAGACATGCAAAAAGCAGTGAAATTTTTAAGTCACCCGATGCACATGTTTGCAGCCGAGGCCGAACAAAGCAAAGCTCGGCCTTCTTGCTTCAGCCCTCATACTGTAAACAAGTACCCTTTATGTTGTGTGCTTATGCCACCATTTTCACATTTTTGTGCTTTTTCATGGTGATTTTACTTTTTATGTTTTTTAATTTTTATTAAATTTAGTAGGGTGATATTGGTTAGTAAAATTATATAGGTTTTAAGTGTACAATTCTATAATACATCATCTATATGTTGCATTGTGTGCTCACCACCCAGAGTCAGTTCTCCTTCCATCACCATATATTTAACCCCCTTTTCCTTCTTCTCCCATCCCCCTCCCCTTTACCCTCTGGTCACCACTAAACTATTGGCTATGTATGAGTTTTTGTTTCCTTGTTTGTCTTGTTCATTTGTTGCTTTCACTTCTATATCCCACAAATGAGTGAAGTCATATGGTTCTTGACTTTTTCTGTCTGACTTATTTCGCTTAGCATGATAATCTCAGGATCCATCCGTGTTGTCATAAATAGCAGTATTTCATCTTTTCTTATGGCCAAATAATATTCCATTGTATTCCAGGGGTGCCAAAAAAATGTATACACATGACTTGTATTCATCTCATCTTTTGTTATTGGCATATATTATTAAAATTTTAATAGTTTTTTCCTTTCTTAAAATGTGTATACATTTTTTTGGCACCCTTTGTGTATGTACCACATCTTCTTTATCCAATCACGTATCAAAGGACACTTTGGTTGTTTCCATGTCTTGGCCACAGTGACTAATGCTGCAGTGAACATAGGGGCACATATATTTTTATGGATAAATGTTTTCAGAATTTTGGGGGTTGATACACAGAAGGATTACTGGGTCGTATGGTAATTCTATTTTTAATTTTTTGAGGAATATCCATACTGTTTTCCATAGCAACTGTACCAATTTACATTCCCACCAGCAGTATACAAGGGTTCCTCTTTCTCCACAGCCTGTCCAACACTTGTTATTACTTGTCTTGTTGATGATAGCCATTCTTACAGGTGTGAGGTGATATCTCATTGTGGTTTTGATTTGCATTTCCCTAATAGCTAGTGAAGGTGAGCATTGTTTCACATATCTGTTGGTCCTTTGTTTGTCTTCTTGGAAGAAGTGTCTGTCCAGGTCCTCTACCAATTTTTAATTGGATTGTTTGTTTTTTTGTTGAGTTATATGAGTTCTTTATATATTTTGGATATTAGCCCCTTATCGAAGGTGTTGTTTGCAAATATCTTCTCCCATTTGGTTGGTTCCCTCTTTGTTTTGTTGATGGTTTTCTTTTGCTATGCATAAGCTTTTTTAGTTTGCTATAGTCCCATTCATTTATTTTTGCTTTTACTTTCCTTCCCTTTGAGGTCAAATTCATAAAATCCTCTCTGAACCCAATCAAGATCTATAAGTTTAGTACCTGTGCTTCCTTTTATGCAATTTATTGTTTCAGGTCTTATGTTTACATTCCCACCAGCAGTGTATGAGGGTTCATTTTTCTCCACAGCCTCTCCAACAAGCTTTTGATCCATTTTGAGTTAATTTTGGTATATGGTGACAGCCACATTTGCATGTGGCTTTCCAATTTTCCCAGCATCATTTATTGAAGAGGCTTTCTTTTCTTCATTGTATGTTTTTGGCTCCTTGATTGAAATATATATATATATATATATATGTATATGAGTTTATTTCTGAGTTCTCAATTCTATTCCATTGGTCTGTGTGTCTGTTTTTCTGCCTATACCATGCTGTTTTGATTACTGTCACATTGTAGTGCAAATTGAAGTCAGGGAGTGTGATACCTCCAGCCTTGTTCTTTCTTCTGAGGATTGCTTTGGATATTCTGGGTCTTTTGTGATTCCATACAAATCTGATGATTTTTTTGTTCTATATCTTTAAAAAATACCATTGGGATTTTGATGAGGATTGCTTTAAATTTGTATATTGCTTTGAGTAATACGATCATTTTAACTATGTTGATTCTTTCAATCCATGAACACAGAATGTCTTTCCATTTCTTTGTGTCTTCTTCAATTTCTTTTAATAATGTCTCATAGTTTTTAGTGTATAGGTCCTTCACATCCTTTGTTAAGTTTATTCCTAGGTATTTTATTCTTTTTGTTGCAATTGCAAAAGGAATTGTTTTTTTCATTTCTCTTTCTGAAATTCCTGTGTTAGTATATAAGAACACAATGGATTTTTGTACATTGATTTTGTATCCTAAAACTTTACTGTATTTGCTTATTGTTTCTAATAGTTTTTTGGTGGAGTTTTTAGGGTTTTCTGTATAAAGAATCATGTCATATGCAGAAAGTACAACTTAACTTCATCATTCACAATGTGGATGCCTTTTATTTCTTTCTCTTACCTGATTGCTGCAGCAGGGACTTCCAATATTATGTCTATGGTTCCTAAACACAAGAATGCTATGTATGATATGCCTTAAGGAGAATATATGTTTGTTAAATAAGCTTCATTTAGGCATGAGTTATATAGTGTGTTGGTTGTGAGTTCAGTGTTGACACAATAATATATGTTAAACAAGGTATCTTTGAACAGAAACATGCATAAAGCAAGGTTACATTATTGACAAAAATGTTGTGCATATTAGTTCCCAGGTACGTAATCATACATTTCCCCTAGGAACAATGATTCAATATTCACTAATTTAGTGTTGGTGACCACTTTATAGAACATAACTACCGAGAAACAACTGAACCACATAGAGAAAACAATGAGCCCTGTTGCCTTTATATCTCTGCCACCCCTGAGAGTTGAGTTGGGCACCCCAGGAACTGCTTTAGATTTGCAGGATTAATAAACACAGAATGCAGGCCCACGATTTCTTATTCAACACTCTCTGCCCAGATGTGGTTCAGAGTCCAGAGTTTTTCACTTTGGATAGGCCAGGATGTGTGTGTGTTCATGTCATGCACTGTCCTTACGTGGGACTGGCAACAACACTCAAGAATCAAGCACATCGATATTTCTGCAACAAACTTATGAATATTCTGCCAAGTAAGAGAAATAGATGATAAGTAGCCTTGTCTCAGTTCAGGATAGGTTTTGCCACCAAGAGTTTGTCATAAACTCATTGATAAAATCAATGGGTTTTAAGAGCTTTTGGGATTTCAGCATTGAAGACAGACTAGAGTGTATGGTTCTTAAGTAAGACATGTATGGTCCTGTAGTAGATTTCTCCTCCATGTTCTCTGCCTTCACCCAGGAAGGAAAAATTTAAGGAAAAGACAAATATCCAGTAGACTTCAGAATTCAGATTAAATAGGCCACAGCCGACTGCCCACTTCCTCCTGCAGAAAACCTTAACTCCTCTGACAGGTTCAGTGGTCCTCCGTGACCTGGTTCCTCCCTAGTTTTCAGGCTCACTTCCCAGCGGCTGCCTCTATTCTATCCAGGCCCGCCTCCATCACTCCTTATTCCTGCCTTGTGATGTGGTTCCATAAAGATTTTCTGAGCATTGGTGTTACAATAGTGAAAAGACAGGTGTGGCATCTGCCCTCATGTGAAGAGTGTTGTATATGACAATAGGGATGAAAAGATGGGTAAATTATCCAAGCAGGGTACAGAGATCCAGTGCATGATGACCTTTGCCTTTGCTTACCATTTTAGGGGGAGTATGTTTGCATCTCCTGGCTGCCTACTCTTCAGGCCTAGCTTTTCCTAACCTCACAGCCCTCGTTCATGTTCCCAGTCTCCATATGATGCCTATAACCCACAGCTTGGCTGTGCAGTTAATTACCACCATCTTGCTATCATTGGCTCGTGTTTCTCATGGTTAGTTTTGTCTCTCAGCTGCGCTTTAAGACCTTACGCTGTAGCCAGTGCAGTTGGCTACAGCTGCTTGATAAATATTTTGATCATATCAAATCATAATTAAATGACTGGTACCCCAGGGGTTCATCAAGTTATGTTATCCCCTTATGAAATTTCTCAGTAAGTCTCATGCTGCACTACTCAGATTAAGTAATCACTCAGTAAATCACATGCTGTTCTCACCCAGGATAAAGCAAAGAAATGGTTCACAGTAGTAGGAATCTGGTTAACTTTCATGTCTCCAAAATCCTGTTGGTCATTCAAGATTAAAGGCAGTAAAGAATGTTCCTGTGCCTTATTATCAGGATAAAACAGTAAAATGTCCACACTGGTAAATATTTTGTGCTTCCTATATTATTAATTCCTATCTTTTTTTACACCACCTCCAAATGTAGGTAGTAGTTAAAATAATTCTGAAAATTTTCTTGATTCTAAAGTTTTTATTAAAAATGTAAAACATCCCAGAATAAGAAATCTTCAAAAGAAATATTCAAATATGGATTTGTTGAGAGAGAAAAAGAAAAAAAAGGGGGGGTGGGGGTTGGTGTCTATTTCCCCAAGTTGACTCTGGTAGATCACTAGTTTATTATGTTTGGCTATCATTTCAATGCCTATGCATCCAAACAAGATTATAATCGTACATCAATATATTTTCTTGATTTTGATCCACAGAACAAAACAAAGGAATACAAAGTCGTAGGCAAGTATTCAGATGGCATAAATGTCCTGGGCTTGATTGTCTTTTGCCTCGTCTTTGGACTTGTCATTGGAAAGATGGGAGAAAAGGGACAGATTCTGGTGGATTTCTTCAGTGCTCTGAGTGACGCAACCATGAAAATCGTTCAGATCATTATGTGGTAAGCAGACACCCGTTAATGCTAGCTTGCTTCCCCTGACAACTGTCCCCTCAAAATTAGAATCAAGAGTCCTATGTGTCTCAACTGACTCACCCTAGAAAGGGTAAACACTGAATATCAGGACACTAGAGTATGAAATCATTCCACATACTATTTTTGTTCACTAACTTTCCCCAAAGTCTAAATTTCAGCCATTGTCTTTTGTACTGAAGCCCTTGATAATCTTGCATGCAGCCAGCATTCATGTAAGAAGTAACTATTGGAGGAATAACTTGAAGCTGTTCCCTGCATATCAGAATACACATTATGAGGCCCCCAGCAGAAGTGATATTCAGAATACTTACAACTGATGTATAGCATAGTCAGTAACTGATCCACTGGGTGAGCATATCAGTGGTAACACTTAAGTGTCTGCCTTGTCCCTGGAGATAACCAAAAGGCCACCTTTCCTAGGAGACCTCTGCCCCACTTAGCTCATATTGAGTTGGTTTACCATTATTTACCCCAAAGTGTAGACATTGACGGTGACGTAAAAGGTTCAGTTATTTCAACCATTTAATCCCACTGAACCTCAGCTTCATCATCTATAAAAAAGGATAATAACAATCCACCCATAAGGTTGGGAGGAACGCACTAAGTGAACTGATGCCTATAAAATACTACACCCAGCACAAGGCATGTAATTAGAGCTCCACAGACTATTACAACCATTTCCACTGCTAACTCTGTTGTTGTTACTACTACCTGGGAAACACAATGACCAGTTCTAGGAAGAGCCTAGTGACCATAATTGGAGGGTCAGGCTACATGTAGCGAGATCCCAGATGTGACGATCGGCAGAATGTCTGTGTACTGGGAGCGAGGAGTGGTATGTCACCAGTTTAACCACACCTTCCTGCCACATCTGGCCCATTATGGTAGCTTCAGTGGGTGAAATTGAGGGTGCACACGGGTGCTGAAACCTGGACCCAGTGTGGTCCACCAGAGCTTGAAACAGGCCTCAGCTTCACTGTGTACCCTGGGCTCCTCCCAGCTGAGAGTGTGTGCCAAGCCATGGCACATGCACTGGCTTGTCGCTTCCCCAGCAATCCCACTCTGAGAAAACACCTGCTGACTTTGTTGTGCTTACTTTCTAGTTACATGCCATTCGGTATTTTGTTCCTGATTGCCGGGAAGATCATAGAAGTTGAAGACTGGGAAATATTCCGCAAGCTAGGCCTTTACATGGCCACTGTCCTGACTGGGTATGTCACCCTCAAGAAACAGAAACCTCATTTGAGCCAATGGATTGCTGCTGAGAGGCTGGGTTTCAGTTGGTTAAAATCGGCTTCTCTCCCACATGCAGGGAAAGATGGGGTTCGGCGACGAGGGAGGGGGGTGTGGGGAGTGGGAGGAGGGCTGCCCTTTAACAGCTGTACTGGAGGTGGAGCACACTGTGCTAATTGCCAGATCTTGGCAGAACAGCCTGGACCAGGCTTTGTCACTGCCTTTATTAGTTGTGTTCAAAAAATTTTCTTAAACAAGAGCAAAACCCACTGATAGCCTCTCTTGGTGCTTTCCTGGCCTTCACTTCCTCACTGGACAAGTAAGAATAACCCCCATGTACCCTGAATCTGAAAGAAATTAGGCAGGGCCTAAATGAAATCAGACTAGAGCCAGTAGGAACGTGATGGCTGGTTCCTTCTAACCCTGTTGGTGGGGCTGGTGACCACTGTCACCCCATGCATCATCAGAGGGCCAGAGATGGTGCTGGGAACATCATCGGGCTGGTAGGAATTGTGTAAAACAGGAAGGCAGCAGGAGACAGGTAATTTGCATATTTATTACAGCCCAGTTATTGGTTCCTTCAAGGGAGATATAGTAGGATAGGTTATAAATGGTGCCCCTGGATATCTAGCCGGGTGCAGGATACATCACATGAGCTGAGAAATATGGACCGAGGGAATGAGTAAGCATCATCAATTTTATTCCCACGGGTCAGTGCCCCCAAACACTGACTGCATTGCAGAATTTCCACTGCACAGCATTTGGTTTTAATCTGTGTTTACCAAAAGCACAGTCCTGACAGCCAAGGGAGGAGAAGCCTGGGTCCCTACAGTATGAAGGCTAGTAAAGTCCCAGGGCCCCAGTGGTAAGGAAGGTGGTGGGACCATCTGCCTTACGAGAGGCCAGGGGCTGTGTCCAGCCAGTGATGTGGCTGAGGTTTATTAGGCTGAGCCGTTTCACAACAAGGTTCTGCTGGTTTCTATTCTCTCTCCCTATCTAGGTTTCTAACAAAAAACTAAAAGTCAGTTCCTCATGGTTGTTAGACAAAAGCTCTCTATCTAGAAAACCCTCTTTCCAGACCTCCAGGATCTATATTTCAATGACCATTTATTATTTCAGCTTCGCATAACTGATCTTTAAACTCTTAAGTCACCACATACATGGCATCTGCTGAATTGGTCTCAGTTCTTAACTCCCTGTTTTGTGTAACCTGTATATGTCCATGTGAAACAAGGAATAGTTTTGGGAGGCAGGAGTAACAAAGAAAAGAGGGTCAGTCCTGAAGTATGACTGTGGAAGAGCAGGGACTGCCTCCTCTTCAATCCTGACTCCCCTCAGATGGTGGGTGCCGTCCAGCAAGACAGTGGCATGTGGTCCAGAAAACAGAGGGGCTGAGGGCTGTGATAAGGGCTGTCATAGTGGTTTGTATGGGGCCACAGAGTCACCAAGGAGAGAAGGGTCAGCTCAACCTGGGAAGGTGAGGGAAGACTTCCCAGAGGAGGGGGAAGTTTCACTGAGCCTTAGAGGAGGAATAAGAATTCAGCAGCAGAAGGCAGTGAAAGTATTGTAGTGCGGATAGCAGGAATGGCATGTATGGGGCTTTGGAGCATGATATAACTGTTTTGTAAGCTCTGAAATATGGATTCAGCTACTGGCTTTGCCACTAACTTTGACAAGATACTTCATTTGCTGAGCGAGTCATATCCTGATATGTGGAATGGAGACTTATATGCCCACTCTACTTCTCATTTTCTCATTGGGTCAGTAGGAAAGTTGAATGATATTATGGATAAAATAGCTATTTGAAAAATATAGAGGTGTGATCATCTATGAACCTGTTTCTCTTATTTACAGGCTTGCAATCCACTCCATTATAATTCTCCCACTGATATATTTCATAGTCGTACGAAAGAACCCCTTCCGATTCGCCATGGGAATGGCCCAGGCTCTCCTGACAGCTCTCATGATCTCTTCCAGGTAAATAGAAGAGGGATAGCTAGAAGAAGTCTCTGAGCCAAGTCTTATCCACTCTCACCTCACTTTATGAAGCACTGGCTGCAGGCTGTGGTTTTTGTAGCTGCCTTTAATTCAAGTTATGACCTCCATATCCTCTGCCCATGTCCTTGAACATATTTTTTAGCCTATTAGATATTCCCTGCCCTCTTGGCATGGCCTGCAGCCCAGAAAGGGGTGATGGTGTAACTTGGAGCAGTGACAAGCATGGCACCTTCTGATTCCTGGACCTGACAAAAGTGCCAGCATGCTTTGGGCTCTTGTTTTAGTTTTTGGAATAGAGGTGTCTCTTCAGGCAGGGACTGAGGACCAGCATTCCTAGACCATAAGTTCCTTTCTCTTTTTATCATGCAGTTCAGCAACACTGCCTGTCACTTTCCGCTGTGCTGAAGAAAAGAACCAGGTGGACAAGAGGATCACTCGATTTGTTCTACCTGTTGGTGCTACAATCAACATGGATGGAACCGCACTCTATGAAGCAGTGGCGGCTGTGTTTATTGCACAGTTGAATGGCTTGGAATTGGGCATTGGGCAGATCGTCACTATCAGGTGGGGCATGGTGCCACATTCATTTTCATCTTCATTATTGGAATTGACTCTAGTAAAAATCATCTGTAAAGGAAGATAAGAATGGTAGTGGATAAGCATCAGTGGTGGACTGATTTTCTTGGTCTGCGAAGGCCCTTCCCAAGACTAAACACAACTATGTCACAAGTAGTGGAATCATGGTACACAAGATTTTTGCTTCAGGGTCTAGATAGCCAAAAGCATCACTCTGTTCTCAGTTCAGTGCACCCACTGGGTACTAGGCACAGAGTAGATACCAAGGACTCAAGGTTGAATGAGGGCCAGTCCCTGCTTTCAAGGGGTTCCCAGTAGGTAGGTAGGTAGGTAATACAGATACCTAAATAGATGCTGACTGGTGTGATAAGGGCTATAACAGAAGCTTAAATGGGAGGCACAGAAGGCACCAAAGAAGGAAGGGCTGGCTCTACCTGGGAAGGTGAGGAAAGTCTTCCTTGAGGAGGGGCAAGTTTAGCTAAGTCTTAGAAAACTAATAAGAATTTCATAGAAGCAGCAGGAAGCTAAGATCAGTTTAGATAAAAGGAATAGCATATATGGAGGCTTATGGTGTAACCATTACCTAGTTACAGAGTACAGATGATTCAGTATGGCTGGCATAAAGAACGCAATGTGGAGAACATAAGGAAATGAGTCAGGGATCATATCATGAAAGGCTTTGTATGGGGAGCTTATGGAAGCATCGTAGACAATCTTTCATATTATGGACAGATTTTTATTTTAGAAAGATAACTGGCAATATGGCGGGTGGACTGGATGGGGGCAGGAACTATTAGATAGAAGACCAATTAGGAGACTATTACAAAAGTCCAGGTAAGGTATGAAAAGGCCTACATCAAGGTGCTGACACGGGGAATGGAGAAGAGCTAATGAATTCAAGAGGCATCAATTAGATTTAGAGTAAGGGACGGAGAAAGGCTAGGATGACCCCCAGAGTTGGTTCATGGTTCTGGATTGGTGGATGGTACTTACCAGAACAGGGTCTAGTGTAAGAGAAGCAAGTATAGGTAGGAGGACAAAGAGTTTATACTTTTTTTTTTTTAAAGATTTTATTGGGGAATTGAGAGAGGGGAACAGTGTTGGGGAATCGGGGAAGGGGAGCAGACAAGTTCCTGTTCTTTTGTTCTTCAGTCTAGTTGTGGAGGACATTGCTTCACTGGCCCATGTTGGTATTATCATTGCACTCTTCCTGGATGAGGCAGATCGGTCGCCAGCCTCTGGACGGCTGCTCACAATGGCTCTTGGCAGCTCACACCAGCTGCTGGCCACTCACGCTGGCTGCCAGCCACACACGGTAGCTCATGGCAGCCCACTGCAGCAAGGGCTGCAACCTACGCCATCACCGGTGACTCATGGCATCCCAGCTCCAGGTGGAGCTGTTGTTCACCATCTTAGCTTTAGAGGGCGCAGTGTTACTGGCCCTCATATGGGATCCGAACTGGGTCCTACTGCACAGAGCTGGTGTTCCAAGCCAGCTCTTAACCAACGCTCCACTTGGCCGGCCCTATACTTTTTGACACATTGAATTTGAAACACCTGTAAGACATCCAGGTGGAAATACACAGTGAGAACTATGGTCTGAACTAGAGATACAGAAGTCAGGGTCATTAGCTTGACGGTGAGTCATTTATCTGTGTTTGAATCTGAGCTTTACCATGATTAGCTGTGACCTTGGCCAAGTGACTTGAATTTTCTAAACTTCGGTTTTCCTGCCTGTAAAGTGAGCATAATAATGGTATCTACATTTTATGCAAGTAGTGATAATTCAGACGATGCATATAAAATGTTTAGAGTGGTGACTCAGTTAATATTGGGAATGGATAACATTATATGGGGAGAGCTCATAGAGAAAACGATGAAGGACTGAACCCTAGAAAATCCTAATATTAGAGGCAGGATGAGCATGGGGAACCCGAAAGGAAGAATGAGAAGAAAAGAAAGGTGGGAAGAGACCTATGAAACTTTGCTGTCATGGAAACCCAGACAAGAGATTTTCAAGGATGAAATGATCAATGAAGTCAAATACTGCAGAGAATCCTAGTCGAGTGAAGGCTGAAATTGTCTGCTCAAGTAGGTGATGAAAATGTCACTTGTGAATTTTGCCAAAACTATTTCTCTGGAACAGCACTGTTCAATATCATAGCCATGAGCCAACACACAGATCGGACAGAGCAGACACTGAAGGTGCTGTCATTGTAGAAATAGGTGCTGTCATTGTAGGTTCTGTCATTATAGGAAGTTCCACTGAGCAGTGCTTTGAGGTGTGGATTGTGATTAGAGTTAAAACGAGACTTTAGTTCAGTTTAGAGTGGAAGTGGGTCCCAAAACTGGACCCCTGAGCTTCCACAAGGTTGAATCTGAACCTGTCAGAGTTAATTCACTCTTACATCCTCAGCACTTGGCATAGGCATAAAGTGAGTTCTAACAATGTTGTAACACAGTACATTTTTTTTAAGTCTTCCTCACCCCTCAATTATAAAGTATTTATTGTAGTTTGCTTGAAATTAACTGAAGACAAGTGCAAACTAGACCGTGTGGCCCATCACCTGGGAAGCTGTACTGATGCTGCAGGATCTGTAAAAAGTTAGTGGCTAAAGAAACCTGTGCCAAGGGCCGGCCGAGTGGCGTGATGGTTAAGAGCTGGCTTGGGACACCAGAGGGCCCTGGTTCGGATCCCACATATGAGGGCAAGTGACACTGCCCTCCACAGCTAAGATGCTGAACAACAGCTCAACCTGGAACTGGGCTGCCCTGAGTCGCCGGCGACGGCGTAGGCTGAAGCCCCTGCGGCAGTGGGTTGCCATGGGCTACCGTGTGTAGCCAGCAGCCAGCGTGAGTGGTCAGCAGCCACAGTGAGCCGCTGTCCAGAAGCCGGCGACTGATCTGCCTCTCCTAGGAAGAGTGCAATGATGGTGCCAACTTGGGCCAGTGAAGCAACGTCCTCCACAACTAGACTGAAGAACAAAAGAGCAGCAACTTGTCTGCTCCCCTTCCCTGATTCCCCAACACTGATCCCATTCCCCCAATTCCCCAATAAAAAAATAAAAAAATCTTTTAAAAAAAAGAAACCTGTGCCAAAAGTGCTTGAGCCAAGTCCTATACTTTGAAAAGACAGAAGCGAGTATGTTAAAATTGAAACCTTGAATCATGCCTGAGGAAGTTCCACATATTATACTTTTATACTCCCAAGTGCCTTTTCCCACCTCCCTCACTCGGCCTGCAATGAACTGGTTTCTAGGGAGCGGTTATGTAAGGGGTCACTTCTTTTGGCTTTTGCCACTTTGTGATGAATTCCCTTCCTCTGCTTCAATCATAAGTTTCCTAGATCTTGCTAACCTTTTTTTTTTTTTTAACCTGTTGGAGGAATAAACTTTGGGCCTTGAGGCTAAATAATCAATTCCCATAAAAATCTCTCACCTTGCTCTGATGTATTCTTATATCAGACTTGGCTGATAAGTACTGGTCCAGAGCCAATAACAACTCCCAGGCCCAGAGTAATCATTGACTTAAAATAAAAAATCCTCTCTGGCCCTACCCGGGAGAGAATGAAATAATAAAAGTTATTTTTAACTTTACAAGTTATAGTGGTGGCTCATGTGGTTAATGGTTACAGAGATTTTTGGACCTATAATTCTTCTCTTTCTGTGGTCCTTTTGGACTGGACATCAAAGAAACATAGGCACCATCCCCCCAAACGTACCTTTTTGTGTTTTTTTTCATAACATTCTCTTACCAAAGGTTACAACTGATTGAAAAAATAGTATAAACTTTCTTATAATGGAAGATAATTACAGGATTTGGGGCTTAGAAAGAGCTTGGAGGAATAAAGTAGCCATAGTAGCAATAGCAGTTGTTGTTTTGTAGTAATAATTGTAGTAATACTAGCAGCAGTGGTAGTAGAAGTAGCAATAGCAGCAGCCGAAGTAGCAGAAATGGCATCCGTTTTTAAGCATCTACTATATCCAGAGGCTATACTGGATGCCTTACATATAGTATATTACCTCGTTTAATCTTCACAGCAGCCCTGCAAAGTAAACACATAATCCTATCTTACAGGTGAGAAACTGAGACTCAGAGAAGTAACTTGCCTAAGGACAGGCTATTAGTGAAATTTTTCCCCCTATCTGAAAATTAATACTTCAGACCAAAGCCAGTCAGATGGCTGAAGTTTAGTAAGCAAGGTCAAGGTCAGAGTTCTTTTGACTAAATCGATTTTGAGTTTCAAGCTCAGCCTCAGGCTATCAGGACCAGGTGTTTAACAGCGATGTGTTGGGGGTTCCAAGAGAAATCAGTGGGCGTAGGCACAAATCACTTCTGACAAAGAACACTCATCAATGCATTCAGTTTAGATTTTTTCAACCAGCACTGAAATAAGTTTGGGTTTTCCAAAGAGTACTTAAGTCAGAACAGATCTAAAGAATTATGCAGGCCTAAAACTTTTAGAGGAATTGGAACAACCCCAGAAATCTCTAATTGACTGTAAATTGGTGACCACAGCTAGTGAAGAAAAAGACACACTCGTCAAAGAACTCTGGCCTGAATTTAACCATACCCCAAACACCATCTGTGACACATCACTAGGCAGATGAATGGGCACTAGAACCAGCTTCCTAAGATCTCTAAGGCTTTAAGGGCCCACAAGAATATGGATTTGTGGATAGAATCAGGGATTCCTCTAGTTTGAGTTGGCAGTTTCTACATCTTCACCTTTCAACTCAATGGCATCCCGGAGGCAGGTCAGGCCTTGGCTCAGGGTGAGGGCATGTCTCCAGAAAATATAGTGGCTGCCCCCTCAAGTTGACTCAAATCAAGAAACTTTTCAGGACATGGTGAGCCCTTGTTTCCTCAAAAATGACCAGATTTAAATAAGGGGGATGCTGATGAAAACCTGCACATTCCAAAGAGAAAAAAAATCCCTACTGCCACATTTTGTCTGCCCAAGAGGGATCTTTTTAAATACATAGCAATGAAGTTCACTTGGCTGCCCCTCCTGGATTCCAGAGCTCATTCCTTTTGCACAAAGTGCATTCACTGGCAAAAAGGAGCAGTCAGGAATAAATGCTTGTACCTTGGACAGGAGTCATAGCTATGTCTCAATTCAGTGCCCTAAAGGGCGCCTCCCAGAGAGATCCAGGGTCTTGTGATGTCAACAAAGTGAATAAAACCTGCTTGAACGCTGCAAGATTTGTCTTCCCCTGAAATCCCTTAGCCCATCCACCCTTGCCACTATCCTTCTACCATTCTTCAAGGGAACATAAATTCCTAGCACACATTAGATGTTCAGTAAATGATTGGCTGGATGAGTAGATGGAAGGAAGGAAGGAATAAAGCAGGTGGGGAAGTATTTGGCACTTGTTTAGATGGGTGAGTAGATAAATCCTTCCATAAACACTTGCGTTGGTAAAACTCCTGCCTTCCTCTTGAACGTCTCTCTTGCTCACTTTTTGTGTGCCACTCCTGCAGTTCTCCACTTCCTTGCATGAGAGTGACTTGCCACATCTGCCCCTAGAAGGAGACCATACTCCCCCCAGTCTCCCACAGCCCTCTAATGAGGCAGAGCTGGTGCTCGACAGGTAACAGGTTCTGATTGGCCAATTTGGGGACACAATAGAAACAGCCATCGGGACTAACCATTGCAGGCCAGGGGCCTTGAAGGAAGAAAGGGTGTCTAAGTCTTTTCTCAATGGTGTGTTTTGGCTACAGTGTCACGGCCACAGCTGCCAGCATCGGAGCTGCCGGTGTGCCCCAGGCCGGCCTGGTGACCATGGTGATCGTGCTGAGTGCCGTGGGCCTGCCCACTGAGGATGTCACCCTGATCATTGCTGTCGACTGGCTCCTGTGAGTTGGAATAGTCACGCGCTGGGAAGGCGGGCTTCCCAGCCATGTAGAATCTGCAGTCTGTCATCATTCTCTCCTCATACTGCCTAATGAGCCATCTGTTGCTGCTGTAATTTCCCTCTGGCCAGCCCATGTGATAATGTGCTTAAAAATTAACTCCTCATAACTGCAAGCAGTGATTTTAAAAAGCCAATGATCTCTGTCAGCTCATTATACCCGTGGTAATGCTCAAGGTTAGAAACTAGGTGTGGAGCAAAATAAACATACAATGACAAGGTGAGGAAGCCGGGCAAGGCCCCAGACATTCCCCACCTCACAGGCCACCCAAGCCTTTCCCAGCTCTGGATCACCATAATAGGTTCAGAACCACCTGGTTCAAAATCAGCCTCGCTTCCCAAGCATCAGACCATCAGGGTCAGTGGCACAAACAAAAGCTTTGCAGTAAGGCTGACTTGGGTTTGAACCCCCATTCAATGTCTTCTCATTGGCTTTTGACCTTGAGTAAGTTCCTTAACCTTTCTGAGGTCCAGTTGCATTATCTGTGAGATGGGAAAGATTCTGTCTTATTTCAGTGGACTGGTGTCAGGACTCAGTGAGCTAATATGGAAGAAGTGTCTAGAACAGCGTCTGACAGGCAGTGTTCCTCAATAAAAGGCAAGTTGTATTATAACTAGAATGAACTGGACCATTCAGACCTCAACCATCAAGTCTATTTCTCTCTCACACACATGTACACACAGCTAAGGAACACAGCATAACATCATTGGTTTGTTCTGGGTAAGGGTAAGAACGTGCCTTTGGGGACCCCCAAGGTTAAAGTTAGAACGAGCTTGGTTCCCAGCTCTATCCTTGATTGATACCCACTTTGCGCATTGGTCTTCCAGCATCTGGAAGGTCTGGCTGTGTCCCTTGGCCATCAGAGGTAAGTGTAGCTCCATAGGGAGCCTTCATTCAGAACCATTCCAGGCTTCCTGGGGAGTCCAGTGCTATGTAGTTTGCCAGTGGCAGCTGAGATGGACAGAAGGGAAGCAGAGACATTGCATGTGGGTTTGAAGATGCAGTCATGTCCCAGAAGGCAGAAGCTCCTGCACCTGGAGAGCTGTGTCATGTGGGGCCCCCTCAGTAGCTAGCTGGTTCTACGAGGCCCAGCCGAGGTGGTAACTTCCTTGCAAAGGTACCCAACCATTGAGGCAAGTGCTTCAATTTTTCTTGCTAGTGGTGGTGGTGGATTTGTACTTCTCTCCTTTCCCTTGTTCTTCCTAGAATCAGTGACCTTCACTTCCAAGATAACCACAGAAGTCAAAGGTCCAATCTGATCCATGGGATAAAAAGACACTAGTTGCTCCATACTAAGGTCCAGTTCAATCCATAGCCTTGTTCTAAATACAAGCGCATCCAGAACGGACATGTGTAAGCATTATTGACCTTTTCTGTCCTGCAGGGGTAGTTTTCACAAGAATATTCATATACATAGTCCCTACCAACAATGCTCCAGCATCCTCTCATGCTCTGTACGTAGAGGATGCCTTCTCTACGTACACATCTCCTGCCTCCATCCTCTTCTTCAGGCTGTCTGAGAGTTAAGACTGACTGGGGATGCCTTAAGGAGAAAGCCATTCCCAGGCAGACATGTGTTTTCTGACCCTGTGCTCTGCGACGCCCCTGCTGGCTTGCTCACAGAGTGACCTAGTATGGCAAAGAAACAAGTACATCAGGGACACACACACACACACACACACACACACACACACACACACACACACGACACATACACAATCCACAAAACATCCAAGTTCTCTCACCTTAGCCAAAAGATAGCCTGGAAATGCCCACAAGACAGAGGTTAGGGGTGAAAAACTTAGTGAATTTTGACCCTCTCTCAGCTTCCCAAAAATACCTGTGAAGACTTCACCTTTTTTGGGGGGAAGAAAAGAGGGAGTTTATAGAGACTAGTGCTGAATTTAGGGGAGTCTCTGTGACCTATTGGGAGCACAGGCCCAGGGGAGCCTGTTTGTCAGCCTCATTCTGTCCCTTTATGGACCACCTCCTGCCCCAGGCCTGTGAGGAGAGGAGCTTCTTTCTGGTCAGCCAGCCGGGAGGACAGCACTTTCTGCATTTGCTTAACTCATAACTCTTCAGGTCCTTTCCTTGCTCCAGTGGCAAAGGAAAATGAGCTATGGGCCTCCTGTCTAACTAGCTTTTCTCCCTTCCTCAGGGACCGATTCAGGACCATGGTGAACGTCCTCGGTGATGCATATGGGACAGGCATCGTGGAGAAGCTCTCTAAGAAGGAGCTGGAGCAGATGCATGTTTCATCTGAAGTCAACTTCGTGAACCCCTTTGCTGTGGAATCCACGACACTCGATAACGAAGACTCAGACGCCAAGAAGTCCTATGTCAACGGAGGCTTTGCCGTCGACAAATCCGACACCATCTCGTTCACCCAGACCTCACAGTTCTAGAGCCCCTGACTTCAGATGACTGGGAATAATAAAGGACATCTCTTAGCAAATTCAAAGATTAAGGAAAAGAAAAACACTAATGGCCAATTGTACATTTGACCTCATATACAGACCTCCAGATTCTTTTCTATATTTGGATTCACAGCTTTCACTCTCCAAGTTCTGGTATTTGGGGTGGGGTAAGATAAAAGGAAAGCTGTATTATCTGGAGTTTTAAAATTCTCTGAGAGATAAAGTTTGAAAGTATAAAGTAGCAACTGTTGGAAGTAGGTAACATGTGAAAGAGAAGTTGCTTTCTCATGCACAGACCTCTGTTCGGGGTTTTTAAAAAAAAAATATTCTGTCACTGACTACAAATTTTTACTCAGGCTTTCTATTGGCATGGATTTCCTTTGATGTCTCACTTTATATATTATGATGCATCTAAACCATCCCCCACCCCAAGGTAACGTGCCAAATTGTCCATTTTGAATTCATCTCCAGTCAATTTCAAAGAAACGTCTTTGAAAGAAAACAGACTACACAGCTCTGCAATAACAGTTTTAAGATGGATGTCAGGTTTGGGGGGGAAACGAAAAAGGTTCCCTTTTCATTGTACTGTACTGGGACACTGGTAACTCAGTGTTCAGTATAGGGTGTGTGTGTGGGTGTGTGTGTGTGTGTGTGTGTGTGTGTGTGAGAGAGAGAGATTTTCATATAACTTGCCAGACAGAGATCAGAATTGAACTGTCAATGTGAAATAAAAAGCTCTCCTTATACTTGAATAATATGATTCCAATCCAGATCTGCTTTGGGGCTTATCAGAACTCCTCCCTCAGGAGCACTGGAATGAGAAATCATGTTGTTTGATCGTCTCATGTCTGTGTATCAGTCCCAAAGCAGAGATACATTATGGTGATATCCCGAGGTGGCATTGTCATTCATTACAACTTCCAGATTCTACCACTGGGAGGGAATCCATATCAGCTCTATGTAAGATGATATACAGAGGTGTCACTCACATAAGGCTGGATGTGTTTTTATCCAACTGGAAGGCTTCTTTCTTCAACGGTTAGTTATACCCACTTAAAAATGACAGTACTTTGCCTTTTTGTACCCATCAGAGTACAACAACAGTTGTATTTTAATACAGAGTTGATGGGTTGAACAAGCCAGCCACATTGACCAGAAAAACACTATCCCTGACCTGGATTCTTGCAGAGTAAATCCCACGATATGATACACTGGTATCAATGGCTTGGGAAAATTCCATTGTATGGCACTGTCTCCTCCAGAGAGGACTGTTCCAACTAGTAGTCTAGTAATCTTGGCCATGCTCATTGAAATCCATTGCTTGTCGTCCTTCTCCTAATTCATGAAGATAGCTTATTAAATCTGCGCTTCAGCTCCCATCATGTAAATAACGCTTAACATATATTTGTGCTTGCCTTGAGATCCAAAATACTCATGTTTCTGCAGTACTGAGCAGCCAATGTAAGCCTGTGCTTTTATATTTAAGAAACCAGAAATTGTGCCAAAGGTTGTGGAAAGGTAAATGCTCAGTATTGACCACCTGCACCTGAAATCTACAAGAGAATGATACTGAATTGGCATGTAAACATCATAAATGTGGACCAGTCATTCAGTGTTTTAAAATGCAAATAGTGGTGGTGTTTATAGGTAGTAAATCTAAATATAAATGCAGTTGAATCAATAATGTATCTTCGGCTGAATGGTTCTACCCCCTGGGCTGTTTTCTCTGATTTGAGGCACTAGCATGGGCAGCTGTTCATGAACTGCAGATCATCCTTATTTTGGCATCAGTCTGTAACCAGCCTCTTAACACACTGTGCTGTTAACTCGTGGAAGAGAACAAGGTTCTATTTCAGTCTCAATAAACATTACTGCCATTCGTTCTTCCCCGCCTTTTTCTTTATCTGTTCTTTTATCTCACTTGCTGGGATGGGTGTGGGAAGGTGGGAATGTGGTCAGTTGATTCAGATTGTACACGAATTTTTGTTTCCAAAACTGTGTTTATACCCAAGATTGAAAAAGCAGGGCTTAAGGAAAAGGAATCTAATTCTTCATGGTAATCAGTAGGGATTATAAGGCTGAAATTCACTGTCATTATGAACAGTTTACCCATACTTGATGAGTGAGATGAAAGGGAAGGTAGAGTTTGGTTAGAAATGACTGTAATGCGAGATAGTCTTCCCTCAATATGATGGTGACTTCATTTCACTGAAGGACCAATTCTGCCCTCTGAAATGTGACTGTAAACTATGAATGGCTGTATTCGGAGCTCTTTAAAGGATTGGCACGGTCCTGCCTGGAACCTGAGCCATAACAGGGTTCCGCTAGTGGAGACACTAGCTTGTGATAGACAACAAAGGAACTGACAGCTCTCTGAGCCCCACTAAGATAGCATCTTATCAAAATGCTTATAAAACTGAAAGCAACAAAGGAACAAGACAGATAAAGAAAAAAAAAAACAACCTATAGATACAGACAACAGTTCAGTGGTTACCAGAGAGCAAGGGGGAGGGAGGTATGGGGGATCATATATATGGTGATGGAAGGAGAACTGACTCTGGGTGGTGAACACACAATGTGATATATAGATGATGTATTACAGAATTGTACAACTGAAACCTATGTAATTTTACTAACCGTTGTCACCCCAATAAATTTTTTAAAAATGCTTATACCTGGCCAAACTAATTCAGAATAGTTTTCTCTTTTGGCAACATGGGATAAAAGACCCAACCACAGGACTCCTTAGAAAGAGAGGGTTGTTTGGAAGAGTTAGTGCCCCCTGAATAGGGGCCCCCATGTGATTTTGATCTTGCCCCAAGTATACTCATGTACAGAGAAACGGTGTTATCAGCTCTGGAAAGTGACTTAACAAATTTTAGTGAGCCCCCAGGGTACAAGTCCTTTTATTTCAAACACATGGCATTCTTAGAATAGTATGAGGAAACTGGGTTTGGCTTATAATCTGGCAGTGGACCAGAAGCAGTGCTGCCTTTGCAGGTGTGTTAGAATCTTCCCTTTGCAGGTGTTTGAGTGAGTGGGCACACAACTCTGGACTCTCACCAGCTTTGTGACCCTTGCCAGTAACCTAGGCCTTGGTTTAATCTGTGAAATGGTGATAAATCTTGCCCCTTGAGATTGCTGTAAGTATTAAATGAGAAAATGTATCTGATGCATTTAGCAGAGACTATCCCATAATATGTTTGATAAATGCTAACGGCCCTACACCCTCAACCCCCATTTACATGGGTAATCCATAGAGATGCAACTCAATTGCTATTCGGTGTTTTAGGACCTTTGTCACTGATACGATTAAGGATTGTAGCTCTCATCACTTGGTATCAGCCAAGGTCTTACAGCAAAATGTACATCCTACCTAGTGAGACTTAATATATTAACTTCCATTCCATGAAAGTTTCATTTAATTAGTGTAAGACAGACTATTTTCTCCTGTAAGATATCACAGGGGAACTAAATAAAGTGTTCACAGTCTTTTTTCTGTGTCTCGAGACATAGGGGTTTGAGATGAGGCTGCATACATGAAGCACAATCATGTAGCACCTCTTTGTATGTCCTGAAATTAAGAGTACAACTGACGTTCACGTCTGCAGTCTTGGCCAGTAAATCTCGTGTGGCTGTCCTCTCCATTCTGAGACTTTGTTCTGGGCCCTACCTGGGGCATTTTAATACCTGTGGTGGGAAATGTACCTCCCTACCCTGCAATCTTAGACTTTTTAAGTGAAAGTCATATAATATAAACAACAAGAAGTAAGCCTTGTTGAATTAGCTTTGGGAACAATATATTGATCCATATATATCGAATTAGGTGACTGCACCTAAGTGTATGAAGTTACTGACCATGGATGGAGATGACAGGACATTTCTCAATGGCCCAGGCTAAACAATGCCACAAAACTAAGCAAACAGTACGACCTAACCACACAATTTCTGTCCCATTTCTTCTCTCACTAGACAAAATCAGTGCCATGTGTGATTAGCAGAATGCCCCTCCAGGATTCCTAAGACACATGGTTTCATCTATAAATCTCCACCTCTAAGATATCACGTTTAAAATAAAACTTAAGTTTAAGTTTTAAGATACCACAAAGTTTAGAACAGTTATTAGTAAACCCCAAAGCTGAGATAAAATCAGTATCCCTTTTGTTACTCTGGTTAGAGGAAAGCAAAAAGGAAAGCAGTGGCCTGTTTAGAGAAGTTTAACTAATTTCTAAAAGGCACTGGGAAACAGGCTTCATAAACGCAGAACCAGGAGATTACCTGAGAAAAGCTTGCACCACAGAAGTACCGCGTCTCAGAAGATGGAGACAAAGAAACCTGGAACTAAAATACAAAATCAACCCAACTCCTGAACAATAGTATCTGGTCACACACACACGTTTTCCAGACTGTAGACAGACATATAGACTCTGGTAGCTGCAGGAAAGCTATCAGCAAGGTTTTGAGGATGTCACATTCTTATCCCTCACTTCAAGGCATTTGAAGGAAAGCAAAGAAGAGTTGTATCACCTGTGCATTTCAGAGTCAAGGTCTGACTGCCAAGGGAAAAATGAGTTTGGAGACCTGGTACTAGCCAGGACATGCTTTACCTTGTCCAGGCCCTGTTGAAAGATACGTTTTACAAGGTGACGATAAGACTGAATGAAATGAATTGAGTGATCCCAGGAGGGTAATCACAGGAGAAAAGGCACCACTCTGTCACTGCGCAGGTGCTTCACTTTATGGACACACCTTTACAAAGTACTGAAGGCATGCACATTCTAAAGATGACTGATCATCCTCCAAACATTTAAATGTAATTAAGGAGTCCTTGAGTCGTGTTTCCAAGATCATAAGTTTAGCCTGGCAAGAATAGTAAGAGGCCAGAAGAAAGCTTTGTTTGACTGAAGGACTTGGGAAGGGGGGGCAGGGCGGCGCACACACACACACACACACACACACACACACACACACACATACACACACACACGCACGCGTGCATGCACATTTTAAGAAAGGAAAAAACTGTATTAATTGTAATAATATATACCGATAACAAAAGATGAATAGAAGTTACATTTGACTTCTGCAATTATAAGAGGTGCTCAAAGTGGTTACCATCAGCGTCCAGACCCTTCTGATTACAGCGAACTACTGCTTGAGCATAGGTAACATCTCTTAAAATGTGTATACATTTTTTTGGCACCCCTGGTATATATATTTTCTTCAAAATGAATCCGAGGTTAATGAAATGTCCAGGTCTTTAGGAAACTGGGTGTGTCTGACAGGTGTCAGAGAGCCGCTACCATGAAACTAAGTTACGTTATAAATAAAAGCAATAGTGGTTAGAGGGATCCAAGGCTGATCTTCCCCCAACACTTGCTTGTCTTCCCAGCATGCCAAATTGGCTTTAATTCCCAGGGCTTACAAACTAATCCTCCATTTCCTAATTTAGCCAAAAATGTTAAGATAGACAAGAATGTGTCAACTCTACATGAAGCACACACAAACCCAAGACTCTTTTCTCAGTCAAGAGGGGCCAGTTAAGTTAGAAAAGTATGCCACCTGCAGTTGATGAGAAAATTAGCAGTACAAACAATAAGGCTGAAAGGAGACTGAGCCTGTTTTTCTGGCACTAGGGAAAAGTTTGCTTCTCTATCATTCCAGGCGCACAAACACCTACCCTATTCTTGGGCATCATAACCTTTCATAGAAATGACACTCTAAGGCAAATAAAGGTCCAGTTTCTTTAAAGATGTCGCCCTCCTCACTGCTGTAGGCACTGAATGAGGAGTTTTCTCTTTGCCAGGATGAGTGCAGGAGAGGATGGGATGTCATGACTCCGGAAGGAAAAACAGCAACAACACAGAAGAAACTCATTTTCATTTACTTGACAAATGTTGCATAACAGTTACTGTGTGGCAAGCACTGTTCTTAGCACTTAAAAAATACTAATTCATTAATCTCAACAATGTCACAAAGTAGGTACTATTATTATCCCCTTTCTATAGATGAGAAACTGGTACAAAAGGTCAGTTAACTTGCCCAAGGTCATACAACAGATGTGTAGCACAGCAATTTGGCTCCAGTGTCAATATTCTATACCAGACATCCAAAGTCAGAGAAGGCCAGGCATGCTAGTATATTAATTCTAATTCAAGTCTGAGATGGCCTAAAATTTTCAAGACAAAAAAATAGTCATTGTTAACACTCTCTACATGTCTTGCACTATACTAAATGTTTTACATGCTTAATCTCTTTTGTTCTTCTCAATACTTCCATCAGGCAGGTTTTGTTAATTTTCCAGGTGAAGAAACTGTGGCTTAGAGAGGTTAAGTAACTTGCCCAAGTTCACACAGCTGGGACTCAAACCTGATTCTAAAGTTCTTTAAAAATTCCATGCAAATGGAAACCAAAAGAAAGCAGGGTAATCAAAAACCACCCAACAAAGAAAAGTCCAGGTCCAGATGGCTTCACTGGTAAATTCTAACAAACATTTAAAGAATTAATACCAATCCCGCTCAAACTCTTCCAAAAAAATAGAAGATGAAGGAACACTTTCAAACTAATTTTACAAGGCACTGCCCTGAAACCAAAGCCAGACAAGGACATTACAAGAAACAAACAAACAAACAAACAAAACTATAGTCTAATATCCCTGATGAATACAGATGCAAAAATCCTCAACAAAATATTAGCAAACCAAATTCAAGGATACATTAAAAGGATCATACGCCATGACCAAGTGGGGTTTAACTCTGGGATACTGGATGGTTTAACATGGGGAAATAAATAAATGTGATACACCACATTAAAAAAAAAAAAAGAAGAGCGAAAATTATGTGATCATCTAAATAAATGCAGAAAAAGCATTTGACAAAACTCAA